TTTCATCTTTGTCTTGCTCGTCTTTCCTCTTTGATGTAGGGATTTTCTACACTTTCATAAGGTCTTTGACTTAGTTATTGGTTGTTGTGTGAAAATGGTGGGATTTAGTAGTACTTTGGACAAACCTAGGGTTTGGGATTTAAAATCAAAAGAGGGGTTTCTACGTGAATGTGATATATATGGTTATGGGGTTTGAAAATGAGGTTATATTGTAATAAAATAGTTGATTTTGGTAATTGAGTTGATATTTACGAAAAATGGAAGTTTGCCCTAAAATATTTTAAATATTTGTTGTGTATGAATAAATAAAATTGATATTGTAAATGTGAAATTGAATGGATGTTGACATAAATGGTGGAGTTGGATATTTATTACCTCATACTTATGGGAATTTAAATGAATTATCTGTCTAAAGATTGAATGTCAGTTTAGAAATATTTGTATTGGGCTATCGGTGGATGATAGCTATGATTGTTGTAGAAATTGTGTGAGGATTAGGTGAATTGAAACTAATCTCTTGTTGGTTGTCATTGAATATGACTATCTTTTAATACATTACATATGTATGATGTTTGAGAGGAGAAATGGGATGTACTCCACATTTGGGAGGAGATAGGGGATGGGCTCTATTGAATTAAGTTGGCATGTGTGTCCAGGGTGATAATCCCAAAACCGTGCGTATACATGGGTGTCGATCCCGCGGATGAAATTTCTGTAAAATGGAAAATTGAAGTGCTTGTGTGATAGTTCTGTTGAATTGAGGACTACTGAGTTGTAGCCTCAGTTGGGTTGTTTGGAAGATAATAAAAATTGACTCATGAATTGAGATGACATGAATTAACTTGAAATGAATAGAAAAGAAATGGATTAAGTTATGAGATTTGACACTCCATGATCATGTAGAATATGAATGTTTTGTCACAAGTCTTGTATATGCACATTGTACTTATATCTTTGTTAAGGCTCATATATTGTGTTAGATTGTCTCTACTGGGTTTTGGCTCACCTTATTTGGGAAAAATCATTTTCAGGTGTTGGTGATATGCCTCCGCCAAGGCAATAGCTTGGAGTGACTTTGGAGCAAGAGCTTCTTTTTGTTGTATTTGCTTTTCTATAGCCAAGGGCTTTATTTGTGTTGAGTTAGGCTCATTTTTGTTATAACTAAGCAAGGATTTGGAAAGATGTAAGCCTTTAGAGTATATAAATATATGTTATGCTTTCATTTTTCCTTACTACTAGTAACACATACTGTAGATTCAGGATGAACTATTTATAAATGTATAATGCATGTGTCAATGTTTGTATAAGAATTCACATTAATGCAATTTTATTATTTCTATTATGTTGTCATGCGTTAATTGTGTTAGGTTGGATTATTGTAATTATTTTGGGGCGTGACATTGGCTACTACACGTGAAATCATGACAGTTAACTCCTTGCACTTCTGGTCAAATCCCACTTTGGTCCCTACACAAGTGTCAATGTCCCTCTTATGTTATTTCATTTTTAAATCTTCAACAAAATCCAGTCATGCAACAAAAATGTGACTACGAAATGAGGGTAAAAGAAAAAAAATCATCCATATTTGCCATCAATGCACTTTGTCCTACGTGATAAGCACATGAGAGTTATATAATACTATATATATATATATGTTCATATGGTAAAAATTGGGACGAAAAAGCAAGAAGATAGAACTTTTGAAATTAAAAAAAAAAAGGCGATAAAAAATCAAAGAGAAAGAAAGATGAATAGATAGAAGATTGTGTTATCGTAAAAAACATAATTTCATGATTTCAATTCATGCAAAACCCTAGTTCATTATCTTAATTGTTTACAATCTGCATTTTGTTTTAGCCTAATATAGTCATATTTTCATGTAAATTTTAGGATAAAGTGTGTATTGATGGAAAACGTAGATGATTTTCCTTTCTTACCCTTATGTCGTAGTCATATTCTTATCACATAACTAGATTTTGTTAAAGATATAAACAATTAAGTAACAAAAATGGGACACTGATACTTGTGTAGAGACCAAAGTGAGATTTGACCAAAAGTACAGGGGGTGATTGTCACAATTTAATGTGGATGGACAAAAGTGGGATTTGACCAGAAGTACAGGGAGATGACTATCATGATTTCATGTGTAGGGGCCAAAGTGAGATTTAGTGCAAAGTGTAATTTACCCATAAATTTAACGTTAGATTAGTTGCTAAAGGCTACACACAAAAAGGAGTAGATTACTTTGACGCCTATTCCTCTGTAACTAAAATTTCCACTATTAGACTGTTAATTGCAATAGCGTCTATACATAAACTAGTTATTCATCAAATAGATGTAAAAACAACATTTTTAAAGGAGATTTAGAAGAAAATATTTATATGGATCAACCAAAAGATTTTGTAATTCAAGGACAAGAACAGAAAGTACGTAGCCTTGTAAAATCTTTGTATGGTGTAAAACAAGATCCTAAACAATGGCATGAAAAATTTGAGAAAACATTAATATCAAATGGATTTGTAGTAAACGAGTCTGATAGTTGTGTTTATAACAAATGCTTTGGTACTTCTTGTGTGATTCTATGCTTATATGTAGATGATATGTTGATTATGGGTACTGAATTATGCATTCTAAATGAAACCAAGGCTTTCCTATTTTCGAATTTGACATGAAAGACTTAGGAGAGGTAGACGTTATCTTAGGGATCAAAGTGATCCATGAATCAACTGGCTTAGTGTTGTCACAATCACATTATGTTGAAAAACTCCTCAAAAAATTAATCATTTTGATGTTGACCCTGTTAAAACCCCATATGATCCTAGCTACCATCTTAAAAAGAATAAGGGAGATAGCATTTCACAATCTAAATATGTCAACGTCATTGGTAGTGTGATGTGTTTAATGAATTGTACTCGCCCAAACATTGCATATGTTGTGAGCATACTTAGTAGATACAAACACAATCCCAACCATAAACATTGGATAGCCTTAACTAGACTGTTAAGTTATCTAAGAGGTACTATGAACCTAGGTCTTCACTATACAGGATACCCCGTTATATTAGAATGATTTTGTGATGCTAACTAGGTTTTAGATAATGATGAAACTAATTCCACCAATGGTTATGTGTTTACTCTTGGAGGTGGTGCTATATCATGGAAATCATCCAAACAAACTTGTAAAGCCTCTTCTACTATGGAATTTGAATTTGTTGCTCTAGAAATGGCAGGTAGTGAAGGTGAATGGCTAAAGAATCTTCTAGCTGATATTCCCATATGGGAGAAGCTAGTCTTGTCTATCTCATTGCATTGTGATTCGCAAGCAGCAATAGCTCAAGCAAATAACAAAGTGTATAATGGAAAGAAGAGGCACATTCGATTGAGGCACAACATTATTGTTAGACAACTTATAAATAGTGGTGTAATAGCTCTTGAATTTGTGCAATTAGAGAAGAACTTGGCAGATCCTCTGACAAAAGGGCTGAATAGAAAAGTGGTATATGATACATCGAGCGGGATAGGACTTAAGTCCATTGATTGAGTTACATGTGATGGCAACCCAACCCATGTGATTGGAGATCTCATGAAGTAGGTTCAATGGGTAAAAACAATCCACAGAGAGACTTAAGACAACACTATTATTTGATCATCCCTCTCTATGGTGAAAATAGTGCAAGTTGCTAAACTAAATAAGGATGAGCGAATAGCTCTTAATGAACTCGTAGCCTGTAAAGGTGGTGTGTAACAGTACACACTTGATGGGTTCACCTATGTGAGTGTGGAGGTGGGGCTGCCTCTTATGAGAGTTAAAGCTAATTCTCTAAAGCACTCATGAAAATCTAGGTAAGGCACATGGCTTTATGATGCCAATTCGAGAACTTGTCATGAATACTAGAGGTATGCGTGTAGCATTGCTAAATCATCCAAAAGGTGGCAGGTTCAAGACTTGAGTCACCTTTCACTTGTGATCTACATTCTGCAAACACCAAGTGTCGATTCAAGTTCACAAGACATCAAAATTAATGCATCTCAAGTTAAGCGCAAATTTTTTATTTTATTTTATTTTTTTGCTTCATTATTTATTTTATGTTGAATCATGTGGGGGATTGTTGGAAGTGCTTCAAAATTTTCTTCTTTAGACCTTTGTTATTGGGTAAAGACTAAGGATGTGGGGGAGACTGTAAGCTTTGGGCCATATGTGTGAAGTCTACATATATATACATGCACGTGCGTTGGACATGGATGGGCTAGGCGCGCGTGTGAGCTAATAAAAACTATATGTGTGTGTGTGTTTTCCTCATGGATTTTTTGTAAGATTCATTTCCTTTTGTAATTAACTATGATTAAGGAATTAACTAGCCATTTCATAATTCAAGGGATTTTGGCTGATTCATAATTCAAGGGATTTGTTTAATCAAATTCTTGATTTATTTTTACCTTACTTTTAGACTTAGAATTATATGTATACGTATTTCTAGTAGTTTAATATGCAGAAAAAAGTTCTCTTTTCTTCTGTTTTTTCCCACACTGTTTCTTGGTTTCTTTGGGATATTTCTTAGATGAGTTCAAGTCTTGTTTGGTGAGTGCACACCATCAGGACTCATCATTGTATCATGGAGAATGATCGTCAACAACCATTTGCACCAAGTGGGGCGAAATTGTTTCTTAAGGATAGTAGATTGACCTCCGCGCCTCAGTTTCATTCTTTTTCTATTATTTATTATCCCTTTATCTTCTTGTATCTATTTAAGTTTGTTAATCAAGCAAAGTTTTTATATGTTTTTCCAACAGGTTTCTCACTAACTTTTGAGGTTAGTGCTAGCAAATGATAAGGTATTCTTTTGGGTGCCAACCTAAGTTGAGATTGGAGAGATATACTATGACGCTCTTTGCATTTTCCTCCCACTTTATTAATGTAATTTCAAATCTTGTATTAGCCAATTTCATCAATAAAATTGTTCATTTTTATTGAAAAAGAAAAAAGAAAAAAAAAGGGGGTACCTGCAACGAGAGTAGTAACACGAAATCCTTGGCAAGCGACTTTGCCATCACCAGACATGCCAAGTGGGCAGTGACAAGTGTAATTTCCTTGGGTATTCTTACACGTCCCTTTGCAAGGATACATTTTTTCATCCAAGCATTCATCTATGTCTGCAACATCAAAAAATAATTTATCACATACTCTCACTATAACACTATGTTTCAGTGGTGACTGCAATATTTTTTATCAGCTTAGAAAATTTCAAGTGTTCGTTCTGAATTTTTTTTAATGCAATGGTAACATGTTATCAGTGTCATCGTTTAATAATATCTCACTGTTTATCCTCCTATGTAAATGTGGCACTTAGAAAGTAGGGATTCACCCTCTGCATATTAGGTTTATTGTGTATTGATGATACCGCATCATCAATATCACCGTTACACTCAATTTTTACTCCTTTTTTTTTTTTTTTTTTTTTTTTTTTTATTTTTTTTTTCTTTTTTTGTTTTTTTGGCTATTTATTAAAAAAATAATAATAATTTGTTTTCAACTTATTTTGTTGGCAATTGACCCCCAAAAAAAAAAATCTTTTAAAAAGATTCATCTACGTTGGATAACTGCTAACAATGGATGCTTTTTTTTTTTTTTATTGCTTCCGCTTAAGGCCCCGTATTTGATTAAATATTATTTTAAAACTCTGTTTTGAGGCTTATGTACAAGCCAGTCATGAACCAAACTTTTAGAGCCGGGTTTGGGGCGTGACAGATGAGGAGCAAGCAGATTGAAGCATTGGCATCGATCAAGACAGTGATATTAATTCTGAAAATGGTATAGAGGATTTCTTAGGTCTGACACTAGCTGGTTTGCTGAAAGAGTCTGATACTAGTGTTGAACCAATGAAGTTGGGGCATATGGCTATATCTGTGATCGGGGAAGGGCCACTTGTCGATTGCTCAAGCTTCATCATGGATGCAGTGAATGACACGCAAGCAAATTGACATGTTGAGAAACGTCTTATTGAGAATTTTGAATAGGTTATTAAGTCTGAGTCTGTTGGGCTTGTAGGATTGGAATTAGATTTGAGTTTGTCTGAGATGTCAGAGTTCTCTTTTTTTCTTTTTTTTTCTTTTTTTTTTTTTTTTTTTGAGTCTATTGCAATAGTTGAGCCTGAGATTCTAAATGAAGATATTGCGATTTTTTCTTACTTCTCTATGCCTATAGTTCAGAACATTGACCAAAATTTTTAGAATTTTGATACACACAAAAAAAAAAAAGCCGCACAAATACACAACACACAACATGGGTAAAATAGTCTTTTTCTCAAGCTAATCTCCTCGTCGGTTTTGAAATCCAACCCTTATGTTATGTTTGGTTAGGAGATTTGTGGAGGGATTTGGAAAGGGAAATGGAAAAGATAGGTGAAATGTGAATAAAACATGTCTATATTTTACCTAGTTTCACACACTTTTTCCCTTTCTCTTTCCAAATTCCTCTCCAAATCTCCCAACCAAACACAGCATTAGAGACCTTGAAATGATACGAATTTGTAAATAATTATGTAGGAAGGATATGAAATGAGTAAAATGACCTTGGCATCCGTTGGATCCAGAAAGGTAGGGGTTGCCGCGGAATCCAAGCTTGCATACGCAACGATATCCAGGGCCATCGTCAGAGTTGACACAATTAGTGTTAGGTCCACAAGATAGATCAGTGGATTCACATGTTTGCTCTCCTACAACCCAGTTGAGTATTGCCGGCGCCTCTCGGTCGACGTTAGTAAGATCCGAGAGATCTATGGTTGAGAATTCAAACCAGCCTTCCCTTGCTAAGAATGCATAGCTGCAGGGACTGAAGTTCCTCGCGTAAATGTAATTGTTCACCGCACTAATACTAATATTTAAGGTCTTAACACCCTTAGGGATTTGCGTATGGCAGCATCCAAACCCTGAACAAGAACCCTCCTGGGTCAGGTTCACCTAATGCACGGACGACGAAATCAAAATTTTATTACTGGACGAGTTAAAATGTGAATCAAAAAATTTTGATCATAAAATATACATAACCACTTATCACCAAGGATCCTCCAGAGTGTAATTTTCTTAAAGTTTCTTAGAGTGCTACATTGTGTGGTTGAGATTTACTGGCAAGTCACATCAATTTTTCTGATGTGACTTGCCAGTAAATCTTAACCACACAATGTAACACTCTAGGAAATTTTAGAAAAAAATCACTTTAGAGGATCCTTACTCCTTGTGTATGTATAATAATTGTATGTAAATTATGAGTTTGTTTGGAAAGTAGTTTTTTTAGTAAGTTTTTTACTAAAATACGAGGTGAATGTATAGAAAGTGTTTGAAAATGATTTTTTTGATTTTTTACGAAAAAAAAAAATACAAAAGTAGAGAGAAATGAAGAAATTTATGTCTTTTTTTTTAATATGGTTTTTTTTTTTTTAAAAAAAAAAAAACTTTTTTAATAACCTTTCAACTTCTTCCCAAACAATTGAAACACCATTAAAGCAATTTTTGATTGGATAAAGAAGATTTTTTAGTATAAAATAAAAATAGAATGTAAAATGGGAGAAAAACGGGACATCATTTTTTTTTTTTTTTTTTTTTTTTGGTATCCTTTTTTTTTTTTGTGTTGAAGTAAACAGGACTCTTCATAGAAGTAGGGGATGATCATGTTCTAATAGTCTTCTCCTAGTTCAATTGCTAACCTCATGGTAGCACAAGGAGATACACCCGCTTCCAAAGCGTGTGCCATCTGAGTCCCGCATGTATGCCTCGGTGTCGCAACCAATCGCAGTGAATCTGTTTTGTGTAGCAGAGAATGTGTATGGGGTTCCCGTCAAGTTCATCCGAGTAGTGAGAAAGTTGAATCCATCCAACGACACGTTGTAACAATAGTACACCATTGTTGTCAAGACCGTAACCGTGCTTTCCTCCACTGATATATTCAGAATCTGAAAGTCACCAAGCATGAGCTTGGGAGAGGATTTGGATTCTGAGTTGTCGCAGTTTAGAGTGAAGTTGTCGTTCATGGAACATCGGGGGTCTGCTCCATTTATGCCGAAAGGGTAGGGAACGCTGATGTTGCCGCACTTCTCAGGGCAGCCATGCATCACCACTGTTGTTTCTGCTGCTGCTCCTGATGATGTTTGTGCCCTTACGCATAGCGGCAATAGCAACCACCACCACAACAACTGAACGATCATCATTTTCGTTACTTTTTCTTCTCCCAATAATCAAATTTCCTTGTTTTCTTTCTGTTTTTTCTTTTAGATCAACAATACATGTATACATGCATGACATGAAATTAAATAAAGTGACCCCTGAGTGGTATGTCTTTTTTTCCTTGCCAATTTTGTTTTGATTTTACATTTCTCGCCCACCAAAGTGGGAACGCTTGAAACTACACACGACTTTCTATTTTATTTTATTTACGTACTAGTAAAACATCACTATAAGGGTGATATTATGTTATCATTCATGCCCACTAATTAATTATAAAACACTATGTAGGAATTCATCATAATCATATCTGTTTGGAGAAATGGCCATGGGACTAATAGTCCATAGGACTATCAATCCCATGGAGTATGTGGTATTCAAATCCAATTCCCTTGGAAGCGGATTAGACATGAAATGACTATCTTATCCCTCATTTTACAAGAGCATCTCCAATAAACTTTTTAAAAGAAGCTTGTTAGTTATTATAATTGGTATCATTCTATTTTAGTCACTCTATAGGCTTGCTATTACAATAGCTATTTTAACAAGGAGAAATTACCCACAGGTCCTATTTGAAATATGTGTACACTATTTAATCCAACAACTTTTTGAGTAGACCCAAAAGTCCTATTTTCCTTCTCTCTCTCTCTCTCTCTCTCTCTCTGTTTTTTGCCTCACTCTTTACGTTTTCCTCTCTCTATTTTTTTCTGCATTTTTCTCTTGTACGGGAAAGATATAAACCTTCTCGTATAATCCTGTTGATCAAGACTGCGTTCCTCCGTACGACGTCGCTTTATCACCTGAAAACACAAACGTGAGCTAGCCGGCGGGTGTGTGCCGGAAACCTCTCCGATGCCTAAGTCAGTAAGCTTGACAAATAGGCAAAAGCTCTGTGTATTCAAAAAGCAAAGTTGTGTGTTACCTCCTCCAAGGTGATATTTGTGAGCTTTTATAAGTTTCGTGTGGCACAATCCTAGTAGGACTTCTACTCCTCCATGCAGAGTCCTTCTAGGATTCATACTCCTAAGGATAATGCTTATCCCTCAACACCCCCCTCACTGCTTAAACCAAGTGAGATGGTTTTACCATGGCCGAACTACCACACGACCGAAGTAAACATGACTCTGCTTAGCCGCAGAGTGAGCCGAACTAACCTTAATTCGGCTCTTCCCCATACTATTCTTACTTCGGCTTCTCATGTATAACTCATGGTACAGTTAAACCGAACTAACATGTCAAGACCGGTTCAACACCAAGACCGGTATAACTCCGAAGCATTTCTAGGCCAGTAACTTCAATCTTCTTTCGGACCAGACTAACTCTACAACATCCACAAGACCGGAGTAACTTATACGGCCATTCTACTCGGCCCTTCGTACTGCGGCCCAAAGCAGCCCAATTACCTAGCTCGGCCCAATTTCCATATAAATTACCCTCTCAATTGTCCCTTAATTCCATCCTCGTAGCTTGATAGGGATTACCTGTCTATAAACCGGGCTAAAGTTTTAGCCTTTCCAGCCGAGCTAATACTTTAAGCCTGTAGAGCCGAGCTAGCACTAAGCCGAACTATCCGTATCTGGTCAGAACGTCGCTTCAATCACAGCAACTGAAACGCTTCCCTTTCCAATGACACGTGGCAGGTTCTGATAGGCTGAGGGCAGCTATCACGCCGCCCTCGTACTACGAAAAATTTGAACAGTTCCCGCTTTTTCTCTTTCGTCCCTTCTTTTACACAAAACACCTTCTATATTTTGGATTAGCCACTCCATTATTACATCTCTTCTCTCTCCATCCTGTGTTCTTGCTGTTCTTCCATTGCTCTTGAAGAGACTGTGACTTTGCTGCCATTTTTCCATCTTCAGTGTTTCTACGTCTTCGTTTGGTAAGCAACTGGAATCTGTCTATCTTTCTTTGCTTTTATTTACTTCAATGTAGTTTTGTTTTCTGTATTTTTGCAAAACATTTTCTTCCATTTTACTTTGCTCTGTGCTTCTATGAAAAAAATTTAACAGTAGAACGCATGAGTATATGATACATCCTGTAGAAAACTAGCTTTCGATCTAGAATCTTGTCCCAACCGAACTAGGAGACTGTTTGTGCTATATATGTAGATCAATTCAGACAATAACCGAACTAGAACTCGTAGCAATAACAGTAGTTTCAGCAAGTTACCAACTCCTGATTCACTTTAGCCAAGATAAGCTCACCGAACGAAGTTTGAACTCATTAAACTAGGAACCTCGGCGTTCAACCGAGCTAAGCCTTTGGGGTTAAGCCAGCTTTCTTAGTTTCTGAACCAAACTCAGAAAGCTGCCCCTAGAGGCTCAACCGAAGTAACAAAACTCGTAGTTCAACCGATTTAGGCCTTTGGGGCTAAACCAGCTTTCTTAGTTTTTTTTAGACCGAACTCAGAAAGCTGCCCCTAGACGATGAACCGGTCTAACAAAATTGTTTCCAAAGCCAGTATGCCGAGACGCTTGCCAAGCCCAAACTAACAAACCCCTGCTCAAACCGCGCTACCAATCTCCTTGCAGAAACCGAGTTAGAATCTGTATCATCCTTATAGCCGAAGTAGGGCGCCTATTTTTTGTACTTTTATATTGTAGCACGGTCCGATGATCTGTGCTTAACCCCTTTGTTTTCTACCTTGCAGACTTAGGTTGCTCAAGCACTCCTCTGCGTGCTCAACCGAGCTACTGAGAACAATTCTTGGACCAAACTTAATTTATTCGTAATTTATATAATAAATGGGGAAGTATAGGCATATCGTAGACACTCCAGGCGGCCTAGCCGAATTCAGAAAAGACTACAATATACCCGATGACGTCCATCTAACTTTAACCAAAAAGGATGTCATTCCTTGGGACAATGAAGGCTTTGTCCCCTTCACTCTCTTATCCATAATTGAAACCGGACTACGATTTCCAGTCCAACCCTTGATGTGTGAGTTTCTTAGGCAAACAAGACTATGCCCAACCCAACTATCCACCAATTCCTACCGCATCATAATGGGAATAGCCGAACTAAACCGCCAAGCCGGACTAAACCTTGGCCTGGCCGAAATCTTCCACCAATACTCCATTGGTTCAAAAGAAGATGGATGGGTCTATTATTTAAGAATACGTCGTCGCCGAGAGAAGATAATAAAACACACACCGGATAAAGACTTAAACGACGACGATTTTTTCTGGGTGTCTGGGAACTTTGAGGATCATCAAGCCCAAATTCCTGGCCGACGTATAAATTGGAAAAAAGGAGAGCCCGGTATATTTACTTCGGTTTTCTTGCTTGCTTTATGATATTTCGGTTTTTCAATCTTTCAGCCGGACTAGCAGTTGTCCACTTTCGCAGATTCTGCCCACCTTCATTCTTTATACAACTACCCAAACCTAGCTACTTTGCGCGCCGCACTACGGTATCCAGAACGTAGTTGGGCCAAATTGCTAAAGTTCGAGCCGACCTACAGATACAGTGGTCGCCGAAAAGCCAAAGTGACTGATTTTCTTCTTGAAGACGCACCAGAGCCGGACCCAACCTTACCACAAATCAGACTAATTCCACTAACTGCTGAAGAGGAGATGGCTAAAAAGAACAGAGTAAGGGCGCTTCTAATCGAAACCAACAGGGCCGAAGTACCACCAACAAGTCAAACCCAAGAAGCGGTGGTGGCCCTTCCTACTCAATAACCGTCCTCATCCCGCCGAACCAAGCGCGCCCGGACTACCGAAACTGAACAACACTTGGTTGATGAAGACGAAACTGCTCTTCCACTGAGCCCTCCACCGAGCCTCCAACCGGAGCCTTCTGACCGAACTGCTACTAGCTGGGCACCAAAACTTACCTTCAACAACCGAGATATCCAAGACTCTGACTCGGTTGTTGCTGATAAGGATCACCAGTTGGCCTTCAACCTGGCCAAGAGTGTGTGCCTCCCCAAAGATATGGAGCACCACCAAAAGCAACTGAACACCGAACTGAAGGCCATCCGGTCTTCAACAAAATCCATGATCCTGGTAAGTAGCTCTGTCCGTTTTTCTGTCTAATTTTTCCAACTTTCACTACAGCTCAAGGGAAGTCTTTGTTTTGTCAGGCCATTTAGAAAAACAACATCACCCACAGGAAAGTGTTAGAGCTCAGGAAAACAACAAGGCAAGCCGTGGCAGAAGCCGAAGTGAAGACGGCCGAGCTAGAGGAGGCCAGAAAGCAAGTGGACGAGCTACAAGCTGAGAACGGCCGACTGGCCGGACTGGTTAGTTCGGCCGAAGCAGAAAAGCAGAAGGCTGCCATTGCTCTAAAGGATAAGTATCTGCGCGAGCTGGTGAAGCTTGAAAAGAAGAAAGATACCGAGATAACCCAGCTGAAGGAGAGCGCAAAAGGAGCCGAAAAGCAAGGCTTCAAGAAGGCAGAGGATGCTTATATCCAGCAGTGCGAAGCCGCCAAGGAACTATTCTTCAAGTGCGGCTGGAGGGCAGCTGTAGAGAAGCTCGGTCATGATCCACAGACCGAGGTTTTCAACCCTCCAGCCTACTTCATACCGAACTCCCTAGTGGAGTATGTTAATGCTATGCAGCAGCAATTTCTTGAAAGCTCAGACTCTGACGAAGACTCTGCCTCTGAGGACACTCCGGTTGTCAGTGCGGACCAGTCAGTTCGGTTAGAGCCCACGGTGGAAGACCTGACTATTGAACTACCAGGTGAAACCGTGGTTCCGACCGAAACCACCCTTGAGAGCGAGCTCCCGCCTGAAACCGGTCTTCGTGTTGATGCCGATGCTGCATTTGATGCCGAAATTGATGATCTTTTCAACTGATTGTCTTTTTGCTTTTCTTTTTTGTTACTTTTTGCTTTTGTAACTGGGCTATGCCCCTCCTTTGTAATTGCCTTTTGATGAATGAAAATTTGCCTGAACTCTTACTTCGGATGATCTGTACGTTTGTACTTGTTATGATTTTTCCATGATCTTTTTCCCTTCAACTTTTATCTCGGTTCTAGCTGGTCAATCTAACTATTCTTACTAGCCAACCACTCCTTAGCCGACATAATTACTTCGACTGAGGAGTACACAGCTTGTTTAATCCAGCCAACCACTTGTCAGCCATACCCTTACTTCGGTTGAAGAGTATAAAGAGTTGGTTTAATCCAGCCAACCCACTCTCCAACCATACCCTTACTTCGGCTGAATAGTATAAAGAGT